AATTTTTTTTTTCTTGGTGAGGCAATCAGTTAAGTGACTTGCCCAGGGTCACACAGCTAGTGAGTATCATATGTCTGAGGCCAGATTTGAACTCAGGTCCTCCTGACTCCAGGGCTGGTACTCTATCCACTGTACCACCTAGCTGCTCCCAAAGACCATGTTTTACAGATCCTAGAATAGAGATAGAATTAAGGCATATGAATGTTAAGGAAAAATCTACAGGATCTCAGCTCTGCACATGGCTCTATATATGCTTTCCCCCCTTTTCAGTCATCTAATTATATGTCTCCACTTCCATTCTTCCTCTACTCCCATCCCCCATACAAGCCACCGTACTCAATTCATTCTACCTGACCAAAGCCCTTGTTGAGAATATGATCTCTTGATTCTAACTCATTCCTCTCCCAGGAGACCAGGACAGAGGACAACACCCCAGTGCTCAGCACATCAACAGCACTTAGTACAGTGCCTAGCACATAGTAGGTGTTTAATAAATACTTTTTGACTCGATTTGACAAGACTAAGGACTCCTATGCCCCACACCCACACATTAGCATTTAGGAAAAACACATTCCTTGCCTTCATTGAACTCCAATAGATTTTTCAAGTGCACCCTCTCCTTATCCTTCCATTTGCCTTTCTTCCCCTCCAGCCCAGGCTTTCAGGTCCAGGTAGATAAATCTGTTCAGTTCACACCATTCACTACTTATAATGCAGGAAGAATAAGAGTTATTCACATTTATAGTTTTTTTAAAAATAATTTTATTGATCTTTTGTTTTTATGTCATCTAAATTTCCCTTACTCCTGCCTCTCCCTCTTCCCAGCTAACCATCCCTTATGCTATAGCAGGTTTTAGGTCTTTTTAACATCATAGGTCCCTTTGGCAGTCTGATGAAGCGTATGATCCTTTTCTCAGAGTAATGGTCTTAAATGCATATGATAAAATACATTCCATTACAAAGAAAACCAATTACATTGAAAGTTATCAAAATATTTTAGCAATAATAATAGCATTTATGTAGTGCTTTGAGGTTTGCAAAGTGCTTTATAAATATTATCTCATTTTATCCTCACAATGACCCTGGAAGGTAGGTGACATTATTGTCCTCATTTTACAGAGAAGGAAACTGAGGCTGAGGGCGATTAAGTAACTCACCTATAGTCACACAGCTAGTAAATATCTGAGGCTGAATTTGAACTTAAGCCATCATGACTTCAAGTCTAGCACTCTATCCACTATGCTAATGTGCTTTGTTAAAAAAAAAAATTCACTGATTCCCTGTTCTATAGTGTTTTTTAGGGCATTCTCCTCATTGGCTTTTTGAACCTCTTTTGCCATTTGGGTTAGGCTATTTTTTAAGGTGTTATTTTCTTCAGTATTTTTTGGGTCTCCTTTAGCAAGCTTTTGACTTGTTTTTCATGATTTTCTTGCATCACTCTCATTTCTCTTCCCAGTTTTTCCTCTACTTCTCTTACTTGCTTCTCAAAATCCCTTTTGAGTTCTTCCGAGGCCTGGGACTGATTCATATTTTTCTTGGAGACTTTGGATGTAGGAGCTTTGACTTTATTGTCTTCTTCTGGTTGTATGTTTTGATCTTCTTTGTCACCCAAGTAAGATAATATAGCCTGGCTCTTTTTGCACTGCTTACTCATGATCCCAGTCAATTACTTGAGTTTTAAACTCTTTGTTAAGGTAAGAGTCTGCATCTAATGTGGAGAATGTACTGTCCCAAGCTTCGGGGGTTTATACAGCTGTTTTCAGAGGTACTTCTAGGGACCTGTAAATCCTCAGTTCTTCCAAGGTGGTATGATAAGGGGTGGGGTGTTTCCTTTCCACCTCCACAACAAGCTCCACCAGGCCAGCCTTCCTCCTCGCCCCAGGACCACCCTTCAGAACTGTGACCCAGATCCAAGCAGGGGCAAAGCAAGAGATTCCTGCCTCAGCTCTGGCAAAGAGATCCCTGCAATCCCTCTCTGATCAGCCACTCGATTCCCACTCAGTCTGTGGGCCGGGAGCTCAGGAGGCAGCTGCTGCCCCAGAGGCCGTGCTCGGGACTTGCGGCTAAGACCTAGTTCCTTCTCTCACTGTAGTCACAGACTTTTCCCATTGACCTTCTAAGTTGTCTTTGGCGTTCGTGGGTTGAGAAGTCTGGAAACTGCCACAGCTGCCCGAGATTCAGTCCTCTGAAGCCTGCTCCAGGGTCGCTGCTGTGGTCTTCGCACCCACACCAAACTGTGCTCTTCTCCCCGGCCCGGCGCGATATACCTTTCTGATCAACCATCCAGGTTGTCTTTGACTGGAAATTTGTTTCACTCTGTCTTGTTGTGGGTTCTGCTGCTTTAGAATTTGTTTAGAGCCATTTTTTACAGGTATTTGGAGGGGTTTGGGGGAGAGCTCAAACAAGTCTCTGCTTTCACTCTGCCATCTTGGCTCTGCCCCCTATAGTGTTTTAAAGTTTGCAGAATATTTTCCTTACAATAGCCCTATGAGGTGGGTAGTATAACTATCAAACCCATTCTACAGAGGGGAAATTAGACTAGGAGAGGTTAAGTAACTTCTTAGTTATTCAGCTAGTCTTCCTGACTCCAAGTCCAGTGCTCTATCACACCATGGTATGCCTTTCTCCATTCTTTCAATTTTCCATTATCTAGCAGAGGGCTATACCCACTAAGTAGGTGCTTAATAAAATATTAGTTGAATTTCCACTGGCCATTCTCCTGCCCTTCTTCAACCACAGGAGCCTATCCTATCTTCTACCCCAGCACCATTCCATCCACCTTCTCAACTTTATATTACTCTCCTCCAGGTAGCCTTCCTCCCACATTATATCTAACACCTATCCCACTCTGCTATCCCAAACTCCTTTCTCTTCCCCCAAGCAAGATACATAAAGCTACATCTGAAACTGTCTTTGTTTCTGTTTTAGTGTTCTGTCTTCTTTATCAGATTATGGGTTCCCTAAAAGACAGTGATTGGGGCTCTCCCTATTAGACTGGTAACTCCCCAAGGGCAGGGATTTTTTCCTCAGACTATGAGTGTGATCCCTTAGAGCAAGAGCTGTATCTCTCCCATCAGACTAGGGGTTTCTTGAAATCAGATATTGTGTTTTCTTCCTCTGAGTGTCTCCACCCCCACCCCCACCCCCCATCCAGCACGTAAGTCATCCACAGAGGGCTGAGGATTGAGAAGAGCAGACAGGTGGTTTCACTTTGTGTGCTGGATGGGTGTGTGGGGGTGGAGCCAGCCTAGGGAGAGCCTGAGCCGCTAGGTGGCGTAGCCAAGCTGGCTGCTGGCCAAGGTGCTGCCTCTTGACTGAAGGGAATTGAGAGTTGGGGTGTTAAGACATGAAAAAGAAATCCGGTCCTGAGTACTAAGATGAATGACACAGAGTGCCATAAGCAAGACAGTACAACTGGGGCTTCTAGGAGAAGTTTTCCCTCTTATGTGTCTTATGGATCTGAAAAAGTCTCAGAATAGAAGAGAGGAGCTGGAGGGAAAGTAGGAGAAAGGGACAGTGGCTTAGTGGGCAGAGGGAGGCTGAGAGATACTAGGAAAAAGAGAAGAGAGCTTGGGTGATTTTTAAGGAACTCAAAAAGACTATGCACATGATATTCAAATAAGACTCCCAATGAGTCAAAGGCTAAGGCCAAACAAAACTCATTACCAAAAAAAAAAAAATTTTAAAAAAGCTAGGAACCCAGACCACTCTGGGGAAATGGTGTTGGTGGTAAAACTCAGTCACAGAGAGGGAAGGAAAGAGGCCCTGTTGCTATGGAAATGGTGGTATTTGTGGAGAGGAGGGGACTCCTGGGTCCCTTGGGCTGTGGAGCTGTGATTCACTGCAGGAAAGGAAGGGTTGCCAGGGGCAGCAGGGTGTTTGGGGGAACCCAATGCTTTTCTGGCTCCTTCTTCATCCTCCACATTCTCTATTCCTCTGCCTCAGGATTCTGGGGAAGGGGAGGAAGAATCAAGTTTGCACACAGGCCCCTTATTTTACAGAGGATGAAACTGAAGCCCAAAGAGATTAAATGATTTACCCAATTTCACACCAGCAGAAAACAGAGCCAGGATTCATGCCAAGATACTTTGAAATCCAAGGCCCTTTCCACGTTAATATATCTTTACCTCAATGGAGGATATGGAGGACATCCCTTCCTTAGGTACTCCCACAGCCTTCCTTACCTGTTTTAGTTTGCCCAGTAGAGTACAGTATAGAGGAGTTCAAATTACTAGGGACAAAGCAAAAATAATTAAATTTGTTGAAATGAACAATGAAGCTTACAACTTTTTACATCTTTAAAAAACTTTAATATCTAATGTGTCCTCTCTTTGCTACAACCATTTGCTTTATGTAATTTGGCACTGAGTTTACAAGATTTTGACACATATGCTTAAGTCCTTCACCATGAAATGAAACAGTAAGGGTACCTTTGGCAAACAGTTCATTTTCCCAAGTCTAACCTTGATTATATAAAGCCCATAGGTTTTCAATGATATTTAAGTCATGCCAGTTCCCAGGCCATACAAGTATGTTTATCTCCATCTCTTGGATACACTTCTCAACTTTTGTGATGTGTGGCATGGTGTAAAATTGTGTTATAGCATTCCACTTTAATTTTGGAAATTTCTGTAATTCTGGAACAATTCTCATTCGTATTATTGAAATGCTTGATAAATATTCTGATAAAAATCAATGTATTTATCAGAGTTTATCATTACCTCAATGGAGACAAATTTTCTAGGCCCACTAGAAATTTTTTAAAAGTTCTCCAAACTTTTTTGTAATGGATGTTTTATAGTCTGGGGAAATGCTCAGTTTTTAAACATTCACCTGGAATTTTTCTGACAACAGCTTTGATATAGCCTTGAAAGAAGAAGTGAGTTTCATCACTAAAAATCACCTTTCCCTCTATCTTTAGTACACCAGCTTTGGTATTATCTTTCCCTTGACAGGTATGTTTTCTTCATAGCAATGGTTAATAGCAGTTGTTGTTGTTGTTTTTTTTTAAGCTGGTCTTCTTGCTGTTCTTTCAGCTTGAAAAAGCGTATGCCACACTATAAAGGAATCAATAATACCAACCCATTAAGTTGCCAGGTTCCTCTGAAGATCTTTTCTTGTTTTCTGTGAATGAATTAGATTGTTTTACAGCAATAGTTAAGTTCTTTATTTTAAACCATACTTGAGTGTGAGTGTTTCATGCCATTGTGGGTTTGAATGATCCTTGAAATGCTTTTCTGCCCCACACCAACAGCCACTGCAATATCTCTAACAGTCATTGAAGTATACTCTGTAGGGCAGGGAGGTGGCACAGTGGATAGAGCACCGGCCCTGAAGTCAGGAGGACCTGAGTTCAAATCCGGCCTCAGACCAAACACTTGACACGTACTAGCTGTGTGACCTTGGGCAAGTTACTTAACCCCAATTGCCTTACTAAAAAAAAAAAAAAGTATACTCTGTAAAAGCAACTACTTTTGTACCTTTCCTTGGAGGAATATCCATTCTTGCAATCCACAGAATTAAAACAAAAGAGAAGAATGAAACATGTGAATCACATTAAATCTAGCACTTAGATTACTAACTATATGTAGGGAAACCAGCTCAATCTGGTTTCACTTGATCAAGGTCTTACATTGTGTCACAGCACACAGGAATGATCAGTGCTGTCTCAGAATGAAGGAGATAAGGACTGGACTCGTAATTTCATTCATAAAGGGAACTTCCAAATGCGTAAACTACTTCTACTAATATAGGTTAGCACCTTTCCTGAAACATAGTTTTAGAGAGTTGTCTAGAGTACTGAGAGATTAAGTGATTTGCCCAGGATCACAGAGCCAGTATGTGATATAGGCAGGACTTGAACCTTCTAGCCATTACACCATAATGCTTCTCTGCAAAATGAAACTATATCAAAAGTACTACTTGTCCCAATTAATTTGACATTCCACTATAGATCTTATGTAGAGAGGAGTTAAAAAAAAAAGTGGTGCTCTCTTGCCTGATGCCCACAGGGCCAACTGTTGAAAACCATGTTTATCTAACATTGTGGTGAAATTCAGCGGGCTACATCTTAACAACATTGCCTCCACACACATCCCCTTCCCTTTTTCCTTGGGCAGGGGTGTGAAAGTCAGGGTGGCAAAGTAAGGGGAGAGTTGTCTCTGCCTTCCTAAAAGTTTTAGTCTCAACATGGCCCTATCATGCTACCATCATTTTCAAAAAGATTAGTTTCATTCTTCCTCATCCACTGGGCTTCTATCTACCCCCAGTTTCAAGAGGAAATGGGGATCCCCTCCTCCAGGGCCTTGCTGGCAGGTGCCATGAAAGAGGAAAGTCCCTACCCCACCCAAGACTTAGAGAAATATCTTCAGGCTGAAACAGAAAGATTGGAGTTAATAAGCTCTTTGTAAAGCACTTTAAGCAAAAATACATTATTCCATTTGATTCTCACAACAATTTCCCGAGATAAGTAGGACAGGTATTATTATTCCTACTCCACTGATGAAGATATTGATGGTGAAAAAAGGATGAATGACTTGCCCAGGTCTCACAACTAATCAGTGGTGAAGCCAAGACTACAATCCAGGTCTTTTGACCCTCAATCCATTTCTCTTTCTACTATCCCACAGGACTTTTAAATTATAGAAATCACGGTATGTTAGAGTTGGAAAGATTTTTAACAATAGTAATAATCACTAGCATTTATAGAACATTTTAAGGTTTGCAAAACACTTTTCAAATATGTCATTTTATCCTCACAAGAATCATGGGAGTTAGGTACTATTATTATCTTCTATTTTACAGCTGAGGAAACTGAGGCTGAAGGAGGTTAAGTGACTTGCCCAGAGTCACACAGCTAGTATGTTACCTGAGGTCCAATTTGAACTCGGGTCTCCTTGACTCCAGGTCTGGAGCTCTGGCTCCTGTGCCACTTAGATCATCTATTCCAACCTCCTCCTTTCTTAGCTAAGGAATTGAGGTCTCGAGATGGGCAGTGAATTGCCTAAGGTCACACAGTGAATTAAAAGAAGAGCTAGAACTGAAATTCAGATCACCACCCAGGTGGTGTCTGTGACAGCAGAGGTAGAGAAGGAAGAGGCTAGCTTAGACAGATCAAAGAAGATGACTTTCTAGCAGGGCTAGTAGCAGCTCGATCATAGGACAGTGTCTAAGAAGGACTAGGGGTGTGGTACAGATACCACTGTGAAATCTTTAATGGGGCACCCTCTTGTCTGAAAAAACAATTATCTTCCTGTTAGGTGAGACTGGGAGACAGGAGCTCTAAGTCTTGCACCTCTTTGCAAAGCACATCTAGAAGGGTTATTTTTGCCATGGATGATGATGGTGACAACTCCTTTCCCTGGGGGTGGGAGGGACTTGTGAGATGGCTGGCTTATTTCTCCAGACCTCAAAGGGGTGAGGGGTGCCCAGAGGCTGCTGGAGGCACGAGTACTAATTAGCTCATGCTCCATAATGGGGCATAATTGCCTCCCTGTGATAGGCAATTAAAGGAATCTATCAATTAGCACTGTAAGGGAGACTGAATCCTGGTCCCGGGCTCAAGGACTAAGAGAGACTTAGGAAGAGCTGGACTGGTGGGCAGCAACTTCCCTCTCTCTCTCAAACTTCCTCTAACATTTCCCCTTTTCTATTAAAGACTACATGCGGGTGTAGTATCTTTAGCTGCATGGGGTAGTGGAAAGAACTTTGAAACGGGTATCAGAAGGCCTAGATTGTATCCTGAGTAACTCCCTTTGCCCTGTCTGGGTCTCAGTTTCCTTAGCTATAAAACTGGGATAATAATAGCTGTCCTGCCTCCTTCATAGGATTGTTGTGAAGATTAAATGAGATAATGGATGTAACCATATTTTAAAAAAAACTATCAAGTGCCGTATGAAAATGATCATGAGTTTTGCTAAAAGATTGCTATCTTTTATTGTTATATCACCTTCATTTGTGAATATGCCCCTCTCTTAGCTAGCAAGTCACCCCTGGTAACAAAGAATAAAAAAATAGAGAATAAAAGCAGCTAAGCAAAACTAATACACCAACCTGACAATGTGAAGTCATGAACCAGAATTATGTGTACATCCACTGCCCAAAAAAGGAAATATTTCCTCACCTGCAAAACAACAAGATCAATGCAATTTAACCAATGTGTATTGAGTACCTACTATCTGCAAGGTGCTGCGGTGGATGGAGAGCAAGGCTTGTAGTAAAGGCTTGAGTTAAAATCCTGTCCCAGGCATTTACTAGCTGTATGGCCCTGGACAAGTCATTGATCCTCTGTTTGCTTCAGTTTCCTCATCTGTGAAATCACCTAGGGTTGTTGTGAGGATCAAATAAAATGATATTTGTAAAATGCTTTGCAAACCTCAAGGTGCTATATACATATTTTTATTATGTGCTGGGGATACAAAGATGGATAGAACATACTCTTTAGGACCTTAAGATCCAATAGAGGAGGAGACCTAAGATAGGTACACAATTAACTATCATGCAAGAGTGAAGACGGCAAATGTAAAGTTGGTGTTCAGACCAGGTGCTATGAGAACTCTGAGGAGAGAACAATCACCTTCAGATGACTGCGTGTAGGCTTCATAGAAACTCCTCCATAAAATGAGGCAGTTCCTTCCCTCTCCTGATGCCTTATGAATTGGGATGAGAATTCCTGAGCCTAAAGAAACCCTGTTAGAGAGCTTCAGACAGTGTGGTTTGGGGAAACTTTTTTTTTTTTTTTTGGCTTTTGGAGGTGATCAGGAATAAATGACTTGCCCAGGGTCACACAGCTAGGATATGAGGTCACATTTGAACTCAGGTCCTCCTACCTCCAGGGCCAGTGCTCAATCCACTGCGCCACTTAGCAGCCCCATGGGAACTTATTAGGTCACCTAACCAGAAGACAAAAGAGAGAGATTTTTTCTGAAAAGAGGGGATGGAAACAACCATAGAGAGGCCAGGTGAAGGTCCCGTCCTTAGGAGTGGCCTGTGCCCTGTGTCAGAGCCAGACCAAAGAAGACTGAGAGGGGCTGATATCTTGGGTCTGGCTCTAAAAGAATAGAGAGGAGACAGGTTGGCTTAGTTTAAAAAAAAAGTCATTGAAAATGGGGCATGGTGCTGGATGCCTCTAATATTGAGGAGGCTGAGCCTAGTGGATCTCTTGGGCTCATGGGTTCTGAGTTGAAGCAGGCCAAGCCAATGAGGCATCCCCACTAAGTCCAGAAGTAATAGGGTGAGACCCCAGGGCCATTAGGCTCCTTAAGTTGAGGGGGAGCTACTGGGGTCGTTAAGGAGGGGCACAGTTCAGCAAAACAGAAAAATGGAGCGGGTCAAAGCTCTTGGGCTGACCAGTTGTGGAATCTTGTCCATGAGTGGCACCCAGCATGGGTTTGATAAAGAGAACTAGTGTTGGTTTTTTTTTTCCTATGACTAAGTTAGAAAACCTGACTTCATGTCCCCGCTTGTCAGTCACTTACTACCTGTGTGACCCTGAGACAAATCAGACATCTTTGGGTCTCCGTTTCTTTATCCATAAAATGAAAGGGATTGGACTAGATAAGCTCTAAGGTTCTTTCCAAGCTTCAAACACTCTGGTCCTTTTCTCCTTTGAAAGAAGTTTAAGTGAAGCCATAAGCCCTCAAGATCATCCCCCTCCCGAGATCCTTCATGGTTCAGGGCTCAGGTAAGTCCTCCCAATGGTCTAACTTTACTCCTGCTTATGGAGTAGTAACTCCCTCAATTTCTTCATTCTCAACCCGGGTTCCTCCTGGTCCCTTTGGCGTCTCTCAGCCGCCTTTTCCACACCCCCTTCTCATTAAACATCTTGTTTTAGTCTTTTTGAGAATGTGATTTGAATTAACTCTTGGGAGAAAATCACAGAGCCTAGGGAAGAGGGGAGGGAAGTGAGGAGGGTGGAGTGAGTCACGTTTTCATTTGTGTGTGTTTTTTCAAACTTTCCGTTGAAAGTTTGGAAAATAACATCCTTAAAGTTGCCAGCCTGGGGCTCCATTGGTTCTTCTATCCATCTGGTTTTTTCTTCTCTCTGGGTGTGGCTTTTCTTTAAGTTCTACATTAGTAGTTCCAAATCAAGTCAACAAGTACTTATTTAGTGCCTACTATGTGCCAGGCACTGTGCTAAGCTAAAGATACAAAGAAAGGCAAAAGATAATCCCCAGTATTAGGGAGGTCACAATCTAATGGAGGAGATAACACTGAAAATTATGTAAAAATAAGATACATATATACACATGTAACTGGAGATATCAGAGCAAAGGCACCAGCATTAAGGGAGAATCAGAAAAGGCTTCTTGGGGTAGAATTTTAGCTGAGATTTGAAAGAAGCCAGGGAAGCAGGAGTCAGAGATGAAAAAAAGAGAATTCCAGGGCATGGGGGACAGCCAACGAAAATGTATTGAAGGGAGTTGGGAGATGAAGTGTCTTGTTCAGGGAACGGTAAGGAAACCAGTATCACTAGGTGGTAGAATCCATGAGGGAGATATTGAAAGCTTTCCTTGAGTGTGTGTGAGAGCAGGGAGGAATCCTACCGATTCTGACCGCTTCCAACCACCTATCACTCAAAGAAACATAGACTCAACAAATCTTAGAAATGCTAAAACCCTTTAGAAATAATCCAGTCCAAGTCCCCTAAATCTCAAAGCTTTACTGGATTTGGAGTCAGAAAATATGACAGCAGTTTACTGTTTGTATAAAGGTCTACTGCCCCAACCCCTTTGAACCTCAGTTTCTTTATCTGTAGACTATAAGCTCGCTGTTCATACTTCTAGAACCTAGCTGAGTGCCCGGCACATAATAGGCTCTTAATAAATATTTACTGAATTGAACTGGATCTATTAAATTAATAATAATAACAAGTCTTTATATAGTGCTTTAAGGTTTTCAAAGTATTTTACAAATCCTATCTCATTTGATCTTCACAATAGCCCTGGGAGCTAAGTACTATTATTATCCCCATTTTGTAGATGAGAAAACTGAGGCAAACAGAGGTTAAGTGACTTCCCCAGAGTCACAAAGCTAGTAAGTACCTCAGGCTAGATTTGAATTCAAGATTTTTTTTATTCCAAGCCCAACCTCTAATCACTATACCATCTAGCTGCCTTGCTATTAGTGGGGAGGTCAGCTGGATGATCTCCAAGCTTCCTTATGACTCTAAAATCCTATGATCCATCTGTTTTGTTAGGTTGTCAGTCTCAATACATTCCATATTTAGGATTTAGAGCTAAAGGAGAACTTAGAGTTCATCTAGTCTCATTTACAGATGAGGAGACTGAGTCACAGAGAGGTAAAGTGACTTGCCCAAGGTAGTAAACAGCTGAGCCAGGATTAGAACTCAAGTCTTCTGATGCCAGAGCCTATACTCTTTCCAATACTGCCATTTATATAATTTTTTTTTACATTTAAAAAGTGCCTTATATAATCTCCTTTGATCCTTACAAACAGCCTAGTCTGAAAATTATAGGCTTTAACTCTTGAGGCTCAAAAAAATTTAAGGCCATGTCCATGGTGACATATCTAATAAATGGTGGGATTTGAACCCAAGCCTTTCTTACTCCAGGCCCAATGTTCCTTCTCCTTTATCACACTACCCCTCCCACTAGATCAGTGGTTCTCAAAGTTTTTCAAAATAGTAGAACCCTTCAGTCTTAACAAAACTTTGGCAGAACCCCTGTAGCAAAAGCCTCTAAAATTATTAGTTTTGATGTCTATTGCCAAACAAGAGAAAGTTAATTTAAAAACCAACTTGGGGTATTACAGGGTTTCAGCACAGTTTGAGAAACACTGTGCTAAAGAAAGACGTTCACTTTGTGATACAATCTTTCTCTTACCTGTGGTGGCTGCAGGGTCCATCTGCGTCTCCTTAAAGAGATGTAACCCTCTCCACTCATCCAGGCCCTTTCTCCATCTTGGTAGTTATCCTGCCAAGGGCATCACTCCTGTAGCCTAATACTTAACACCAGTTGCCTCCACCCTATCCTCTGAGATGCCCCCTTTTGAATCTTAGATCCCAGGTTGATTATTGTCCTCAAAGAAACTTTCCTGTTCTGGATCCTGTTATTGGCCCCTCCCTTCCTTTTATCCCATAAAGTCTCCCCAACCTTCTCTGGTATTACCCTCACTCTAACACAAATTGATAAAAGAACAAGGACCTGAGGCTTCCAGATTTGAAATGAAAAACCACATTTTGCTTTACAAGTTGCATAGCAAACCTTGACTCTTCAGTAGAGGGGGTTCCAGGACTCCACCTGTTAATCCTCCCCAGTTCTCATCCCAAGTCACTGAGAGTATGCAGGGAGCCTCTCCCCAGTCTCTCCCATGTCAGATTGATACTGGGTTTACCCCCATCAAGTTGAGACATAAAGATCCTGTATTGTAAAAGAGGACTCACAAAATTCCTTAAAAGTTGAGAACTCCACATAAGAAGAGCTATCTATGGGGAAAAGAGCTTCCATATGTGGGGAAGAAACCCAAAACGGGGAACGAGGTAGTCTACTTGCATGAACCACTCCCTATTGCCACAGACCCTTGCCACCTCAGCTGCCCACGAGATCATCCCCCCAACCACCTTAGGCTTCCTCCATATCCCTCCCAATTCCTAACTTCCTTTGCTGGGATGGAGAACCAGCCCTCCCTGTCCTGGGAGGGCTACACACACACACACACACACACACACCCCCTTTCCTTTATCCTTCCCCTTGCAGGCTGACTAATCTTTCCCAGTGGCTGGGCTGCCGTGCCAGCAGCAGTGAGAACACACAACCACACGCACCACATCTGGCTTCAGTTGAGCATCCTTCCCCTCCCCCCCACCCCCTAGGCACCCAGCCCCACCCAACTCTAACTCCCAGCCCTGTTCTTTCCAGGCATTGAAGATTGCCCCCCTTCCTCCCTCACCAAGGTGCCCAATGGCCTAAAGTTGCAAGGGCCTTTCTATTTATCCCCAAATTCTCCCTCTCTACCTCACTGTCCCTTTTCCCCAGCCTCTCCTTCATAATTCCCTTCTCAGTCTTCCTTTAATCCTGCCTCCCTTGTCCTCCCCTATTTCCTTGTCATCCTCTTACTGGGATCATGCTAATCTTTATATCATTCAAAATTTAGTCTATGTGCTGCCAAAGGAATACCCTTATTTTCTGTCTGCCCACCTAATCTCCTGTTTTCTTTTCTTCATGCCCCCCCAACACTTATCAATGGGTCTTTGGGGGAGTCTAGACTTGGTGCCCTCTGGGAGTCAGTCCGAGCCTCCAGGGTGCTCTTCTTGTCCTCACAACCTAGGGTTAAGCCTATCCCTTCCATCTCTCTAGGCTGTCCTCCTCAGCCCCAGACCTCTGCACACAGGAAGCCTTACATTCAGGTCTGTTCAGAGGCACCAGGAACCAGATTTCATGACAGAGAGGAAAATGGGGTGACAGCTCTAGTGGGAATGTGCAGAGAAGTCACAATAGTGGCCCCTGAGCAGGAGCTTTGGGGGAGTACAGCCAGTTTCCCCAGAATCTGTAAGCCAGAGGGAAAGGGGGAGGAGCCTTCCAGCCCTTCCAGCTATTGGTTTTTCTTCTTCCTTAGCAACGGGTAAATATTTGCCCCACCAGGACCTGGGGCTAAAGCTTCTGTGTTGGCCTAGCCTGTCTGGGCATTCTGGTCTTTTGTCTTTCATCTCCCCAGCTCCACCCCTCTGGCTCCCCCCAATTCTCTCACTGATCCCGGGTTCCAAATCCCTCTGAAATCTTTGGTGGGGAATGAGGGATGGGACTGGGCTTGTTCTTTTCCACTCATTTTACCCTTATCCTTTCTTTACCTTTCTTCCACCCTCTGTTTTTCTATGTCCTCTTTCACTTAACCTCTTCCCACAATCCCTCTTTCTCTCCTCTCCTCCTTCCTCCTTCTGTCCTTCTGCCTCTTCTCTCTCCCTCACTTCTTCCTCTATTCTCCTTCCTCTTCCTCATCATTCCTTTCTTTCCCTCCTTCTACTGTTGTCCTTCTTCTTTCCCGCCTTCCTACACATCTCCCTAAATCTCCACCTCTAGTTCCATTCTCTATTCCTGAAACTGCCCAGTAGCATTCACTATTCTCCCTCCGCCACTGGACACAGTAGCTCCCCAAAGAGATGTTACTCTTCCCCAGAAGAGCCTTTTACTCAAAGATGCCCAGTAAGTCACTGGGGAAATCCTTCTCTAAGAATGTGCAGACTCCCCACCCACCTAATACATCTCCCATAGGAAGCCAGCTGCACCCATCCCCAGGACAAAACTGAATCTCCCAGATCTCAGCTTCATGGGTGTCAAACAGAGCTTGGATGCTTTTGCTGGACGAAGCTCTCACCCCATCCTCTTGTCCCAAGGAAATCCAAGCCAGGAAATCCAGAGCCATTCTAACCTCCTTTGGAGGGAGCCTAAGCCAAAAGGAAACAGATGCCCCCTGAGCCCAACCCTGGGGCGGGCAGTGGAGGGAAGGCAAGGGAGGAATCTTGAGGAAGCCTCTAATTATCCTCAGATGGGGCCTCTCCCCTTCCTCACAGCTTGGAAACCTCTCCCTCTACCTAGCTTTCCATTGCTGTGGCTACTGTTTAGGACAGTCCTGCTGGATGAAGAGGGAAAGTTTGCAAGACAAGTAAAGGTAGATAGGATCTGGAATCCCAGCAAAGAACAGAAAAAAAAAATGGGGGGAATGTGGATTGGTGTGAAATAGGGCTTGCACTTACACTAGTCAAGGGACTGAGTCCTGCCCTCTGGGAAATGAGCAGAGAGGCCCTGGATCGTCCTGTCCATCTTCCTGCCATCCAGCATGTGGCACAGCATCATTTCACAGCCCAAACCAATGAGAAGGGTAGCTTTTCCTTTGAGAATCCAGAGGGAGTTAGTTCACACTCTTACCCTGTTTCACTCTATCGTCAACCTGTTAAGGGGTCTTTCCTGGGACCTTATCCCCCATCCCTTTTGCTATATACAGTCCCAGTTATTGCAGTGGAGAGAAGGTGGAAGGACAGAACAGTTGAGAAATGAAAGGGAAGGAAACAACCCATGGAATTTGATAGGAAAAGTCCTTCCTCCACTTTTTTGATTTCTAGAGGAGGTCGGCTGGAGAGAAGAGAAATGGAGATGCAGCAGGGAAACTTCCTTCCAAGGAAGGGGAGCAGAAGGTGACCCCCATTCCCTTCTCTTTTCACTTATTCTCTACTCTGGACAGAGTTGTAATGTTTCTGTTTGTTTCCTTGGCAACAAGGAGAGGAAACCCCCATTCAGGAGGCCAGGGAGGCCCCAGGCAACGAAGACACCCGCATACATACACACACAGCCTCCTACTCCTGCCTGCATCAGAGCTCAGCTCCTCTTCCATTCTCTCTGCCTGCCCTTCCCCCTCAGGGGCCAGAGGGACTTGGGGTGCAATTTGCCCAACTCTCAGTCATTCTTACACTCCCTTATATCCCTGAAGATATTGATAGTTTAGTCCCAAACCACCGCTGGCCTCATTTACATATCTCCCTTCCGAAGCCTGTTTCCATGACCATTATAAGACAGGTTCTGGTGAAGAGCATATGATGGAGACTTTAGGCTGAGGAAGAAGAGAAAAAAAGAAGGATAAAGTCAAGAACCATACAGAAACTTTTTTTGGGGGGTGAGGCAATTGGGGTTAAGTGACTTGCCCAGTGTCACACAGTTAGTAAGTGTCAAGTGTCTAGTCTGAGGTCACATTTGAACTCAAGTCCTCCTGACTCCAGGTTCAATGTTCTATCCACTGCACCACCTAGCTGTCCTTATACAAAACTTTTTACCAAGGACCCCAGAAGTAGTCACAAAGTGCATAAAAATACACAAGCACAGCCCAGATGAGAGTAGTTTAATTGGTTATTATAGCATTGATAATAGACCTGTTGCTAATAATTTAGCCCACCCAGTGCCAAGAGACCACGAACCATATAATCCTTTTTCCCTGCTTCTTCACCGATTTCACACAAGAGTCCCAGGTAGCAGTCTGAGGAAGCAGTTACTAACAATGGAAGTAACTGGATTGGGATGTGGAGAGAGCCCTAGACTTTCAGCTGAGTCTTTGTCATCCCTGAAAGTGGCAGTACTTCAGGGTAGTTACATCTCTGAGGAAATGCCATTTCTTTTCAGCCAGATTTCTGTTCTGTCCTTTGCCTGACTTTCATTCAGCTCACAATCTGGTATCTAGTATGACTGTTACCTGGTATTGTTGATTGGAAATGTTGGGCAGGGTCATCTGAAGAGCTCAGAATTTGGGTTCAAGGTTTTTGTGGCTTTGGGAGAAAGGGTCTCCTTTAGGACATGGGATCAGAGTCTGGCATTAGACTTTCTTTGGAATCTGGATAGAGGATGTAGGGGAGAACTTGCCCAAGTTTACCAGTCCCTTGTCAACTTTCCCTGGCACAGAGATGGGGCTCAGAACCATCAGCCCTCCTCTATGGGACCCTGTAAAAGTAATGGCAATATCCTGGAATGGGCTGCCTGGTGAAATAGGCAGCTTTTCTCTGTTATTGGAAGTCTCCAAGCAAAGGTTGGGTGACCATTTGTAAGGCTTATGGCAGAGAAATTCTTGTTCATATAACTAGATAGATTAAATAGTCTATAGTCTTTTCCAACTTTGAGATTCTGATTCACTCAATCAATATTTATTATACTCTTACTATGTTTCAGGTACCATGCTAAGCTCTGAGGATACAAAGGAAGGCCAAAGATAGTCCCTGCCCTCAAGGAGCTCATAGTCTAATGGAGGGAGTTGTTTAGTCATTTTTCAGTCACGTCCAACTCTTCATGGGGTTGGACCCTTTTGGGGTTTTCTTGGCAAAGATAATGGAGTGGTTTGTCATTTCCTTCTCCAGCTCATTTGACAGATGAGGAAACTGAAGTAAACTGGGAGAGGACAGGCAAATAATTATGGGAAAACAAGCTATATACAGGATGAATCGGAAGTAATCAACAGAAGGTAGGCACTACAATTAAGAGGGATTGGAAAAGGCTGCCTGTAGAAGGTGAGATTTTAGTTAGGACCTCAGGGAAGCCAAAAGGTGGAGATGATTGCAGCTGTTAGCTCATTTTTTTTTTGTTTGTTTCCAAATGCTTCCTTGTGGCCTTTGTTGCTATATCCCCACAGAGTTATCCTTTGGGGTAGGGAGGGGAGGGATGGCTCTCAAAGCTTGGGCCTTGGCATTCTGATCTTTTCCTTCCCTTTCCCTCCCTCAAGGAACTTTGTCCCCCACTTATAGCTATCACCTGACTGTGGCTGACTCACCCCATCTTAGACTCACATCTCTTTCCAGTTGGTCCTCTTCAAAACCTAGCATGCAAAACTGGAACTCATTTTCTACCCTCTCCCTGTAGCGGTCATCTATCTATTCTCTCTCTTCCCCAGGGGCACAGTCTGTCCCTCCCTCACTCTCCTAGTTTCTGAAGCCTGAAGGTACGAGGTTGTTCCTGACTCCTTTCTCTTCACCCCTTACATTCAGTCAATCATCAATGTCAGCTCTTCTTCCGGCTGAAGGTTAGCTCTTCCTTCATAATTTTTTCATGGATTCTACCCTCCTCATTTTTTCAGCCAATAGCCCTATCTAGGCTCTTATTACCCCACACCTAGATTACTGCAATTGACTCCCAATTGGCTTTCTCATCTCCATTCAACATACTCCGCACCCAGGCTGCTACTGTAACCTTCCACCCACCCTGTTTTCATTTCATTCCACCCTCGCTCAGGAATCTACAGTAGTTTCCTATAGCCATTCCAAACCCCTCAGCTCAGCCTTCAAGGCCCTTGTACCAGTTAGCTCCCCATTCCTCCCCTCTCCAGTTTTACCTTAGTCCCCAAAACAGTACCTTCACTTCAACCAGGCCAGGCTTCTGACTGGTCCCAGCACAACAAATGAGTTCTTATTCCACTTTTTTGAGCCTTTGCACAAATCATTCCCTTCCCTTCTTTCCCCTCCCACCTCCACCAATCCACCGCCAGCGTCTTTTTTTCATTTAACCAATTGTTACTGAGCACCTCCTTCAAGCTCGGGCTCTGAGCCCACCTCCGCCAAGAAGCCTGCCTAGACTAACCCCACCCTGTCCTAACCACTCTATTCTTCCTGCTCTGTTTTGGGTTTGTAAGTTGCTCAGTAACTGCCTCTAAACTTGTTCCATGTGTGTATAGACTAGCAGCCTGAGAATGGGCAGAGACTTCTGCTTTCTTGGCTCTGGACACAGTAAATAGGCAATAAATACTTATTGCGTTCTGGAATCTCCTCATGTGACAAGAAAATTGAGGTTCCAGAAAGCTTAGTGACCAGTACAGGGTCATGCAGAAAGAGGCAGAGTAGGGGCTCGAACACCAATTTTCTTGACTTGGGCTTAGCTTATAATACTCTCCAGACCCCAAATTCTCCAACTTGGCAGCCTTGTCGCTATCTGTTCACTCCATGGCACCTTTCTTGGTGCCTCCAGCACTTCTTTCCATAAGAATCATAAGATTTTATAATTCATTTTATATATAGGGAAACTGAGGCTCAGAATGATGAAGTCACTTGCCCAAGGCAAGCTAGAACTAGAACCCAGGTCTCTTGACTCTCAGTACAATGCTTTTTTCCATTATATCAAGCCAAATTCTCCTTCCCACCACAAATCCATTATTCTACTTTTTGGTCTGTTTTTGGCTACGTACTAACTTCTGAATCCATTCACTATACTGATTTCCAGGGACCCAATCTGTGGCACCATCCTCAGGACTATTTGGTCCTGGGGAGGGGTAGAAAGAGAGAAATGGCAAATGAGATCCTCTGGTCTTGGTAAAAGCTTTGAGTTTGGAACTTCAGATCCAGTATCTAGAATAAGGCTTTGAAGTTGAGATTTAGAAGGTTTATAGGATCAGGGGGTTCATCCCTCAGAAATAGGGGGGTCAAAAACTCTACCCTGGGCCCAGAGAAAGACTTGGGGTGCTAAATTCTTTCCATTGCTGTCTCCTGCCCCTTTCTTCCTACAGAGGGGGAGACTCCAGGTTGAGAAGGGTTAAATGTGATTTTTCTTCCCCAGCTCAGAAGGGAAGCCAGGCTGGCTGGGTGGGGGGGCAGGATGCCAAAGGGGAGGGGGGCTGAGGCAGACGGGAACAGCATGAGCCCCATCCCTCACGTTTCTCTGGCTCTCTCCTTCTCCCCCTATACCCCCGCTCCTGGTTTGGGGAACAGAAGAGGGAAAACAGAGCTTTTGTTTTGTCGGGGAAGCTGATGTTGGTGGTAGCAAAGTGCCACACCCTAGATGGGGAGAGAACTGCTAGGGTGGGGAGCCAGGCTTATGTGTTCTTTGGTCTTAAAGATAGGGAGAGCCATATGCCTCCCAGTCAGGCAACCACCCTATCCACTCTGCTCTGTCCCACTAGTGATGGGACCCCAGTATTCCAAGGCCCAGTCTCTTCCCATTCTTCTTGATGTCAACTTGGACAAGCCAAAGTCCTATTTGTTCCTTAGCCCTCCTCCTTCTCCTTGGGTCCAGAACTCAGACTTGGGAACTCGGGCATCTTCTTTCAACTATTAGAGGCTGTGGAGCTGGAAAAGAACAATATAATTCAATTTCCTTGTCTCTTCATTTATAGAATTAGCTGGAGGAAGGGGGATTTGGAGAGTACATCAGAATAGGTATACAGCCTGGGTCTTGATATCTGACCCTGGAGGCTGTGGAGGATAAGGGTGGATAAAGTTAGGGACACTACTCATAGTATATGGGTAATGGAATGGAACTAGATAACCTGGATTTAGAGTAAGAGCAGAAGCCTGCCATAGCTAAGCTGGACAAGATTAGGAACTTCCAAGTCTAGGTTTTGTGAGAGCCCTATGGAGTTCACCAGTCTGCTCCAGAGCCAGCTACAACTCAGAACCGATCAAGTGGAGAAACCTGGACCTCACTTTTGGTTTCTGGAAAATCAGGGTCAGGGCCAGGGATTCAACAGTCCAGGCTTCCATTCCCTCTACACCCCCCAGCTCCAACCCACTGCCCCCTTTCTGATGAGAATGGGCATAGCGATTCAGGCATCTGGCCTCTTAGCCCCATGCTTGACTCCCCTCCTCCTGGCCCCTCCAAGAACCACAGGAATCTGGGACCCTGGTGTCCTGGCAACGTGACGCACAGCTCTGGGCGTCTGTTTTGAATTACTAGTTAAAAATAAGTCCTACAGTTAAAGAAGGGAGAGGGGCTGAAGAGGGGGGGAAGGGACCTAGGTATGTTCTTCCTCCCTTCTTCTGGGCCCAACATCTGGCAATCTTGGTTCTAGTTTATGAACCTTGGGGAGATAGCCAGGATGGGATTCAGGTCCCTTGGATCTTGTTTTCCAACCTGGGTTTGGGTTGGAGGAGGTGGTGGGTGGGAGGGAAGGATAAAGGACAGAAAAATTCAGAACCTTAAAGTGGGTAGGTGATTTGGATGTCTCAGGTATCCAGAGCTCCCTGAGCCCCTCAACTGAATGCAGGCATCCCTTCCCCCACACCTGGCTTGCTCAAATCTTAGTTGCTGAATGGGCTGCCCAGATGTGGGCAGGAGGGGGAATGGGGAGGGTGACTCATTGGTTACTATG